CTTGCGAACAATGTTATGTTTTTGATGAAGTAATAAGTTGTGCACAAATTTACTACCTTTCTAATAAGTGTTGAGGGATATACTCTTGCCACGTTTATGTTGTAAGCAAAGTAAGCTCTTGTTTTAAAGGCAAATCATTACTGAGCACACATAGTGATATGCGTACCGTTTTTTATTATTTACAACTTACATTCATTACTAACCAATCGAACGCTATTTCTTTTGTTTATGTTCACTGAATATCCAGCTACTAATGTCCCTGTATGATGAAGTTAGGCCCTAGCGTGACCAAAAGGTTAGCGTATCTGACTGGGGATCGGAGAGTTTCGAGTTCGAGACATGGTAATGCCAAGTATGCTTCGCATTTTCAGCTGTGTGTGTATTATAAGTGCGACAGTCAATCCAACTATTTTGTTAAGAATAGACGTTTCAGGCGGCGTGTCTTACGGATCCTCCCCTGTTATCCACGGTTCAAAATTATGGACGGCTATGCCTGACCTGGCTGCCAAGCCCCTTGTGTGCATAATGTCTTGTTCATATGAACAAGCAAACGAGTATACATATAGTAAGACGAAATACTATTTACTAATGAAGCAGTGATCATTGAGTAATTAACGCTATTCCTAATTTAATAATGATTGGATGATTTCAAGTTTTCGCAAAATGAATTGTAAAAGTATGTACATAGTTTCAGCCAATAAATGTACAGTTTGTTATAATTGGTTTCTTATTGTTCTCATTTATCGTCGACAAGGCAAAAAACGACGATCTTTCAAAATTTGGAATGGTATTTGTAATGTCTCTTCGCAGTATTGAAAAAACAATTATTATTCTATTTGGAAATGGTAAAAAAATAGCCGTAACACATATGTACCAATCTAGAAGCTTTCCTTTACTAATCTAGACGTTTTCCGTATACTAATCCATAAACTTTTCGTGTACTAATCCAGAAGCTTCATGTGTACTAATCCAGAACCTATCCAATAATAAGCCATAAGTTTTCCTTGTACTAATCCAAAACGTTTCCGTTGCTAATCCAGAAACTATCCTTGTCTTAGTCCAGAAGTTTTCTGTGTACTAATCTAGAAGCTTTCCTGTACTAATCCAGAAGCTTTCTTTTTCAATTCAACATACTTCTCGTGCTGGTTTTCCAAAACGTTTAGTATTTTATTCTCACAAGTATTTTATACTGTTACCAGAAAAGATAAAAACCACGATGCAAATTTTACCTGATTTTATTCGCAAAAGGCTTTGATACTTAGAAATAAAAGAAGTAGTTTTTTTACAGAAAATTATGATATTTTCAAACATATCAAATGTTGCCTTTTTATGTATATCAAAATATTGTGAAAACAGCACATGCTGCAGTTTTCTACATGATCACAGTTAAAGGAGTCGATATCATATCGTATAGTTTTCTATATGATCACAGTTAAAGCAGTCGATATCATATCATATAGTTTTCTACATCATCACAGTTAAAAAAGTCGGTATCATATCGTATAGTTTTCTATATGATTACAGTTAAAGGAGTCGATAT